TATTGCATGAAATCATTAAAAAAGGGATTTTAAATAGAGAAATGTTGGACTTGTAAAAAGTATAATAATACTTATGTACTCAGTACTTGGTTTGGCCCCCTTTTGCATGAATTACTGCCTCAATGCGCTGTGGCATGGATGCTATCAGCCTGTGGCACTGCTAAGGTGTTATGGAAAACCAGGATACTTCAATAGTGGCCTTCAGCTTTTGCGCATTGTTTGGTCTCATGTCTCTCATCTTTCTCTTGGCATAAATTCTCTATGGGCCTCAGGTCAGCCGACTTTGCTGGCCAATCAAGCACAATAATCCCATGGTCGTTGAACCAGGTTTTTGGTACTTTTATCAGTGTAGACAGGTGCCAAGTCGTGCTGGAAAATAAAGTCAGTATTTCTATACAGCTTGTCTGTGGAAGGATGCATGAAGTGCTCCAAGTGTGTTGACTCTGGACTTAATAGAGCACAGTAGACCAACACCAGCAGATGACTCAACACAGACTGTGGAAACTTCACACTGGACTTCAAGCATATTGGATTGTGTGCCTCTCCATTCTTCCTCCAGACTCTGCATTTTGCACTTTGGTTTCCAAAAGACATGCAAAATCTGCTCTTACTGGCTTACAGCTTTTCATAAGTTGTAAGCTTTAGTCATCAAAATTATAACAAATAAAGGCTTTAAATATCTGGCTTTGCAAATAACGAGTCTATATCATATATTAGTTTCACCTTTTGATATTCTATTTTTTTGAGTGTCACCTGTAAGGACAATTCTTCAAAATTGTTCAAAGCATCTTTTTCAAATATAAACCGTAAGTAACAAAAGCAAAAATTGAGAATCCTACATCTTACAGCACACCGCTCCCACGTCAGGTCCCAGCATTGCACTGAAATATGGAAGGCATGACCAGGTAACCCACTGCTCCAACTCTCACCCTGCTGTGGAGCCACAAACTACACCCCAGATCTGAAGAAGATTTTCAGATCAAAATGACTCTTAGATTATTCAGAGGTGATAAATCGCAGTGTGGAAATTTATTCTGAAAACCCACACAGCTGAAAGTCATAAATTTACAGTAGGCCAACAGATCGTATTTAAGGCGTTGAATTCAGTCTGATAGAAACAGCCTCAGGTCCATCTGAGTTTTAGAGGCAAACATTTTTTCAGGCTCGTTTTAACTCTTAAAAGCTTTTTTTTTCTATCTTTTGGGTTTTTAATAACCCCA